ATGATATTGCTGATTTCTTGTCATTTTGCTTTTTCTAATAAAATTTGTATCGAGTAGGATATAACTTCAAATCTTATTTTCAAGTAAACATGATAAAAATCGGACATTATCTCCAATTGTACGCTTTATCCAGCCAGAAAATTTGATGAAGATAAATTAAATTCTTTTAAAGATTTGAGTTCAGTTTAAAAATTTTTGGGACAACCCTAGTAGTAGATAATATCATAAAAATGTTTTAAAATATGCGAACATCCTTAAAGTTTATTATTCACCATGTTTACTTCAATCAAATCTTGAGTTGTAACCTAAACACTATTAGTTTACAAGATGTACCATATGTCTTATTTTTTTTGACAATCATAGCCGACTCTTAGCACCTTTCCAAGCAGTAACACATTTTAACGCATATTCCACTTATTATTTCTAACGCAAAATCAAAATATAGCATTCCCTAGCAATCATACATTTTTCATACATTTTAAATTAAACATTTTAAATTTAATGCCAATTGCTAAAATCCAATAAAATAAAAAAAGTTCTGATCTTTTTTTGATACATGTATTATTGACAGCTGCTTCCTCAATAGAAATGGAACTCATATATTGACTTACCTGGTCATTGGTCATTTGCAAAATTACTTTGTTAAAAAAGAATGTGATTGCATACACGAGTACTCTGAAGTTGACATCTAGAAGATGCGTGAATTTCTGATTGACAATATCTATGTGGTTTTTGTAGACCAGGTCTCCCAAAATCTATTGGAATTCCCATATTTGCGCTATTTTGTGTATTCATATGGAGCAGAATTTATGCAAAATCATATGCGTGAAAAGAAGAAAACACTTGTTGTGGCCTTCAAATCGACCTTCAGATATATTGACGACGTACTGTCAATTAACAATGGTAATTTCCATTCCTACGTCGATACGACATATCCAGGAGAGCTTGATATAATAGATACCACAGAGTCTACCACATCAGTGTCATACTTGGATATTGCACTTGAAAAAAACGTTAATGGTAACCAGACCTGGGGTCAATTACTTTGAAATGTAATGCATTACATTACAATTACATTGGAATTTTTATCATTACAATTACAATTACCATTACTCTCATTTAGAAAAGTAATTAATTAAATTACAATTACTTTGTTAAAGTAATTAATTACATTACACATTACATTTTATAAGAGAAAAACACAAAACGTATCACCACACAATTTATACCTATAAATTAACTTTCACACTTTTTGCTCGATAATATGCTTTCCCTCAGATCTATAAATCAGAGTGGTATTTGGATTTTGGATTCATGTATCATGTTCATGTAGTTTACCAATGAAAGAAGAGTTGACAAAGAAAGTGGATCAGAACACTTTCAATGTTGTAGTTTTGTTCAATATCTGATGTTAGTTTCTCTGTTGTTTTTGTTTTTTAAATAAATGATTTATTGAACATTTCCTACTAGATGTTTTATGTAAACTAATATTTAATTAACAGATAATGCTATAAATGTATAAGGAGTATTAAAAACATGATGAATTAATTAGCACTTCTAATTAACTTTACAGGTAAAAACAATGAAGCTATAAAGTAAACACAACCAAAGGTGATAATTACAAGTACTTGGATGTAGGGTTTTAATTTTGAGGCCTTAATTAAGCTACCAAAAATGATTGATGGTCAATATATCAGTCTATATTTATATTTGGCCTAAGTTTCTCTTTGTGTCTACAATAAATCATACTGATCTTGTATCATGTTTACCAGGTCCATTTTACCAGATTGAAACGGGGGAAAAAAAGAAAAATATAATTTGTATCTTAATTTAACTGTAAGTCTCACTATACCTGTATTAATATCACTTTTTTGTATCTTTCTTTAAAACCCGATGATTTCTTTTAATATTTTTCTTTGGTTCTCTTCAATTAATTTTACAATTGACTTAATCAAGAAGATTTCTATTAAAAGAATTATTTAGTTTGTCTATAAATTACCATTTAATGATATAAAAAATATTGTAGGATATAGAATTTTAATTTTAACACTCTAACATTATTAAAAAAAATAACTTCTCAGTGATATTTATTTGTTTCAGATTCCAAACTAAACATAGACTAATATATAAAATGTAATTAAAATGTAATTGAAAAGTAATTGGTCATTACAGAGTGACATTTTTTTAAAGTAATGCATTACATTACAATTACTTGTAATTGAAAGATGGATCCATTACACATTACACCCCATTACTTTGAAAAAATGTAATGATTACAATGCATTACCATTACACATTACCATTACCCCAGGTCTGATGGTAACCTAACAGTCAAGTTATATTAAAAGCATGACAACTTTAACTTTTCAATGCAGTAATAAATATACCTTCATCACCTGCAATGGAATATATATATCTCAATTCATTCGATACGCAAGAGCATGCTCTACATAAAAACAATTTCTAAAACGAAGTATTATTGACAAGCAAGCTGATGAAAAAGAATATCAGTAGTCTCGTTTAAAGTTATGTATTTCGTAAGTTCTATGGTTGATACAATGACATTGTCAGCAAATACGAGGGTTGTCCAAAAAGTTCGTGGACAATGACGTTTTTGTTAAAATAAATGGTTCTATATGCATCTATTGTATATCAAAATATTTTTCATGAAAAACCGAGTCAGAATGATTTAATTTTTATTGATGAAACTTAATATTGTTGTAAAAATCGGGGTCTTTAAAGATAGCAGATTGCGCGCACGGACCAGTCTGACTTTACGCTAATTTCATTATTACGTAAAACATTTGGATTTTGACTTAACACATGTTCAAGGACGCACACCACATTTCTTTTTTAAGGCGCAACGCACTTCCAAGTGCTAGCAATAACCTTTAAGTGTAGATTATAATTTATTTAATTTTTAAAATTAAAAACAATGCACACAAATTTACGAGCACCATCTTAATTAACAGTTTGTATACCCAAACTGAACAGCCCAGTCTGACGCTGCGCTAGATTTATAACAACGTCATGAATAGAGATCTCCATTTACAGTTAATTACACGTGTTTTTAAATTCTTGTAGTGTCTTCGAATTTGTACACACTGTTGAAAAATCGTATATACGAATCCTAAATCGATCCATTCAATACATTTCAATAATTTTGAGTTGTTTTAATAAATATTTTGTCTCTTACATCGTTTTAACCTTTATAAAATTTTATTTTTTGACCGGACGCTGCCCCCTGCCGACGGACGACGTCACTTTTTCTGTTGAGTCTTGACACGTACTTGTTAAGGTTTTCTTTGTGTATTTTTGTTGTCTATATAGTAAGCGATATTTAAGATATCATAAAATGATTATAACCTCTTTATTTGTGTTACATAACATTTTAATCAATTTTTGACTTGTTTTATATAGAAAATAATCATATCAATCCGAACTCTTTGTATCAGAGTTTACTTCATTTTAACCTGGTCCGTGCGCACTATCCGCAACCTCTAAAGACCCCGATTTTTACAAAAATATAACGTCCCATCAATAAAAACTAAATCATTCTAACTTGTTTTTTCACAAGAAATATTTTGATATGCAACAGATTTATATAAAACCATTTATTTTCACAAAAACGTCATTGTCCACGAACTTTTTGGACAACCCTCGTACAATTTATCATTAAGTCAAATCCTGACTGACATTTTTCCCGTTTATACCAATTGTTAGTCCATTATTTATACACTGAATTTAGGATGGATTTTCCCGTTATTTCACGATCATGACAATGAGCACACGGTGAGTGTGAACGTTCAGCAGGGGATGCTCGCTCAACCACGGCACCTGATTTTACCTCTGATGTTTCGAAGGTCTGTGTTTGCTCTGTTCCAATTTTGTATTTTTGTTTTGTGGAATATGATGTTGAATTATGTTCGTTATCTCCATATACTTCTTCTTAAATGGATGTTATTCAATGAGTTTGCAAACTTTTTGATCCCTTCTTGTACATGTATTCAAGGTCTTTTTCTTATCTTAACGTGTTTAATAAAAATATATAATAAATCATATATAGAAATTAAAATGTAGCAAAGTTATTTTTTTAGCCTTGAAACCCTTCAATAAGATGGAAAATTGCAATAAACCATGGTTTATAGGACTCTATATTTATAATAGGCTTATTACAAATGGAAATACATATCAAGAATACTTTTTGATGTAGATCTTAAAATGAAATACATTATTAAGACATCCCACAAAATATATATGGAAGCAAAAACTATTATTGATAGCATACAATTGAATATGATTTACATAGTTGCTCAAAAACTCTAATTAGTACGTATAAGATTTTTTTCTTTTGATTTAAATTCTGTGAAATCTTTTTGAGCATGTCCCTTAGGATGTACTCAACTCAAGGAGACATTTCAAGCTCTAGCAGAATCGTCTTGAAGAAGTATATCTCACTTTTTAAGTTTAAATATTTCTTCTTAACAGAGGGAACTTGACAATAGACAGTATGTCCTTTTCTAAGCATTACCAATCTACACCAGAAACAACCAATGCCGCTAGACTGGCGAGGATGATACTTGGTCCGTGCACAGATGTCCTGCGAGATATCCTAAAAAAAGAAGTGTCACCAACGGATCTGTCTAAAGAAGTAAAGAAAAATATTGATATGTTAAAAAAATCAAGGTTTGCGAAATCCACTCAATCCAACGCAATCAGAGATAATTTTCCCAAAACCCACAAAGCAGTACAGTGGTGATTATTCAGACTTAGATATATCTTTATTGTATTTACTTCTACGTAATGTAAGTAAAATAGCACCACATTCCAAAGGTTGGGGAGAAATTCCAGATCCTGGAGACAGAGGCGTGGCTGCTAACATTGAAAGAATTCGCTTCCTTAGAAACAAGTATTACGGACATTCACCTAATGTGTCCCTATCCGACTCAGAATTTAGACAGGAATGGCGGAACATCCGGGACATCGGAGTAGAGCTAGAGCGACATTATGGTTCATCAACAATTTACCAAGATGCAGTCAGCATTTTAAAAACTTGCTGGATGGACCCAGCAGGGGAGAAGAAATATCTAGATTTACTTGGAGATATAAAAGATCTTCAAAAAACTGTGGATGTTCTATCCAGTAAGTAAGAGTTAAACTTGTAACATCACGTATTTTGCAATATTCTCATTAGTTCAAAAAAATATATAGTTACTATACTATTACCATATATAGAAATTGCTAATGTTACGATGATAAAACAAATAACACATAATAAAAGACCTCATTTGCATTCTTCACACAGTTTATTGGATTGTTAAACTTTTTTTCTTATTTTTTGCAGATGCAGCGCTTCATTGTGGTAAATACAATCATATTCATTGTGATTAGATATATGCCAAGAACAAGAGCAAGAATTTCTGAAAAATCAAAACTGTTCAGTTTAAGTTGAAAATGCAGTATTTATCAATAGGACTGTTGCTGAATATGTATTTATTGAACATGAAGTAATTTTTCCTCTAGTCAATTCATAATGACATTATAAAATTGCCTCATATTTCAGATATGCAGTTACGTAATGAAATATATGTTTTTGAATCTCAAAAAAAATGTTATAATTTTTTAAAATTCTTCCTTTAGTTTTTTTTTTTTTTTTTTGCAAAGGTAGTCAATTTTATATTTTTTCTGCAAATTCAAGGTCATTGCTTTTTCCAATACTTGAAATTACAAAAAAGAAAATTTATTTAAGGAAATAAAAGTACCAAGTCTCATCTTTATTTGATATATGAAAAAGGGTTACAATCAATATATTGATACCAATTCTTCATACCAATATTTCATACCAATTGTTAGTCCATTATTTATACACTGAATTGACCACGGATTTTTTCCGTTATATCCTGATTATGACAACGAGCACACGGCGGGTGTGACCGGTCGGCAGGGGATGCTCACTCCTCCATGGCACCTGATCCCACCTCTGATGTTTCGGAGGTCCGTGTTTGCTCTGCACTTATTTTGTATATTTGTTTAATGGACGTTGAGATTGAATACTGTTCGTTATTTCCATATCCTTCATTGATATAATGACAGGGGCATATAAAATGAACCTAGCTCTTTGATGTTTCATGAATATTATACAGCAAAAGTATCATATTTATGTTTACGAATATTATATAAGTAACTAGTTACTATCTTAAAGCAATATGAGCAATATATGCAACTTTGATGCTGGTTTTTTTTTGTTGCAAAGTTTTACATAACCTTTTCAATGACGGAAAAAGAACGTTAATTATCTTTGATGTTCATGTATAAGATGGAAGAACTATTTATTAGCTTCGATTGAAACAATAATACATTATTGACATTTTGTACATAATGATTTCTTATACATAACTATACGTTGGATTGTATGTAGAAGCCTTTCTTCTGCTTTTGTTCAGTCTAATTGATCTAATTAAAGGTTTAAGTAATTAATAAAATACATATTCATCATAATAACGCATTTTAACAGGAAATCTTCTTTTCAAAAATGCAGCTCGTATTGCATTAAGTGAACTGATTATGAAAAGTAAATTGTACAAAATGCCATCAGAACTTTTTAAAACAAACCTGCATAGCCTTTCTTAAAAATTCATTAAATGTTTAGTTAAAGACGAAATTATTTTTCTTATTCTTAAGTATGAACATTTTGATATTAGTAAATATGCCTTATTATTTTTTCTTGTAGAACTAAGAGTTGAGAGGAAGATCGGTATGAAGATTATTTAATACGACAATCACATGATATTCAAGATATTCCAATTTCTGATATTTTAGTACTTTTAACAACAATCACATAGGTTAAATTCATTAAATCATTGTTTTAGGTTTTTTTTTTATCGTAATACATATATGCAGAGATACATCTCCTCCATAATATGTTAAATAATAAAGAAGATACCTTTGAAAGGTTTTTTTCTCATCTTAAAACCTTGCCAAACTGGTGTACGGTATATCTCATTTCTACTTTTTTTTCTTATACATGTAATTCAAGAGAACACTCATGGCCTTTTAGCATATTAACACTGATCGATTAACAGATTAAGCATTATACATCCATTAATTATAAACAGGAATAAATCTTCTTTAAAGTTCAAGCAATCTTACAAAATCAAATAAATTGAATATATTTGTAGATCGATAATAAAAAAATTTAAGAATATATATCTTCTTAAATTCCTTCGTGATGTTGTTATGTCTTAAAGATTAGTAACTTTTTTCTATTCATAGAAACAACCAAGCAAATGATATCGGAACATTATAAAGGTATGAGCAATCTATTTGTAAAGACTCGTGCTTTTGATGAAGCAAAGCAACTCTTGGATAGAAATGGGTATGTCGTCATCAAAGGGCATCCTGGAACTGGGAAAACTACGATAGCCAAAATGCTTATGAAAAAATTGATAGACATTGGAAAATTTCCTCTTCAGATTTTCAAATTCTCTGAATTGTATGATACCATCTCATGGGCAGATGGAGTAGCTTCATTCTTTGACAATATGTTAGGAGAATTGTCTTTGTCCTATAAAGAAGTTAATGAATTTACAACAAAAGCTGAAATGATAAAAATATTGATTGAGCGTGATACGAAAAACAGTATGATATTTACAATAAGAAATGATGTTTACCAAGAATATATCAATCAGAGGAAAAACGATTTTTTCTTTCAATCATCCTTGATAGATATATGCAGTAGTGAATATGGTTTGCAAGAACAAGAAATGGCCCTTTTTTTACAAAACTATAAATTGTCAAAAAGCAATTCAAATACTGATATTATTAGGAGGGTATCAGAAATCCCTTTGTCAATAGGATTTCCACAGTGTTGCAAATTTGCAAGCACAAACGCTGAAATTTCAAGTGATATTGAACATTTTATGCTCAATCCTAGGACATTTTTGAAAGAGTATTTCGAGACATTTTTGCAAAAAATCCCAGTAAAAAGTGCCGTTCTCGTTTATATTCTCTTCAGTGGGGGAAAAGTGGATATAAATTGCATAGAGAGCATTCATGAAGATTTGGAGATGAAACGTGCATTTTTGAAATATCTTGGTTTACATTACTCTATGTTAAACAATTTTCATAGAAATATATTTTGTTTCGAAGGATTCCTGACAATTCGAGACACAATAGAACATACTTATAAATTCTCTCATAGTTCAGTTCAAGAAATGCTTTTTAAAGTATTTTTTTATTTTGATCCCAAAAATATGATACAGAATTGTCACCATTCCCTGTTAAATATGTTGACGACAGATAAAAACCCGAACAGCACTCAAGTTATCATAGGAGGGGATCTATATAGTGATGTTGCGAGTCGTTTGGCAAATATTATTGAAAGTCACTCTAGTGAAGGATATACGTCTGTATCTTTTCTTGAATTGTGGAAGGATTCAGATTTCTATGAAAATATATTACTAAGAAAACAATTTATTTTGAAGATAGAAACTTGCCGTGATAGAAATGAAGATTCCATGATAGTACATTTTTCTAAAGCAGGGGAAACACGTTGGGTAAAATATTTACTACCGAATTCCGACAAAAAAAACGATACCTATCCCTTAATACTGCTTGTTCTTCAAACAAATCCGAGATTGTTCATCTCATTCTGTCTTCTGATGTACGGTGTGATCTTCAAACGTGTTTTCATGCAGTGCAAAGTGGTAATTTAGAGTTACTGTTCCGAGTTTGTGAGCTTGTAGACCTCCATCAAATAAACTTTTCATTGCATCCTGTGTGGTCTTTTTTAAGACATAGTTTGCTCCAGGAAATATGTCTGATGCGACAAACACAATTTGTTGAACCGATTTTATCTAAATATCCGTTTTTAGTGAAGATAAAAAATGACTATGGTTCTAATGCTCTACAATCTGTGGCAAGTTCTGGTGACATGCATGTATTCAATTTGCTGCTAAAGTTTGGCTTCGACCTGTATGAAAAGGATCGATTCTTTGGCCACACGGTCTTAACATGTGCTTGTCGAGATGGAAGACTAAAAATGGTAAAACACCTTATTGAGAAATACCCCGTCCTGCTCCATTACCATACAGACCGAAATGAGAAAAGTCTTTTGTATTGGGCAGCTTTCTGTGGGAAAATTAAAATGTTTGAATATATTCTAAATCTCTATGTGAATGAAATCATCATATTACCTATATCGAGTTGTATAGAAGCTAGAATATATGGAAACGATAAATCAGGTCTATCTATCCTACACGCTGCGTGTGAAAATGGTCAATTAGACATGTGCAAATATTTATTGAATAGATATCCAAAATTACTATATGCATCTGACGATGATGGGATGAACATTCTTCATTCTACAGCTGTGAGTGGTAACTTACCTCTTTTCCAGCATATATTAAGTAAAGGTTTGGATATTCATTCCACAACGAATAGTGGAATGAATCTATTATATCTCTGTTGCACCAGAGGTAGAAAATATTTCTTTCATTATCTTGTTAATGCATATCCAGATTTCATACACGCCAAGGACAAAAATGGAATGACAGTATTGCATGCTGCTTGTTTTGGTGGAAGTATAGAAATTGTTGCTTTTCTTATTTCAAAGGGTTTAGACACCGGTGCATTGTCAAATGATGGTAAAAGTATTCTGCATGTTGCTTGTATAAGTGGGAAGTACGAGATTTGTGAGTATTTGATAGAAAACCAACCTCAGTTAGTACATGTAAATGACAAATTCGGTTTTTCAGCTTTACATTTTGCTGCCAGCGGGGGTAACGTCCAGATCGTCAAACTATTGGTTGAAAAAGACACGAAAATCAACATTGTAAGCAACGATGGAAAAACTATTTTACATTTTTGTTGCTGCTTTGGAAAAACAGAAATGTGTGAATATCTTGTAAGGCATCATTCAGATTTATTGCGATTAAAAGACAAAAAAGGGTGGACAGTATTGCATTCGGCTTGCTTTGGGGGAAGTGTTGAAATGGTTTCCTTTCTAATAACAATGGGTTAGACAGCAGTGCATTGTCTAATGACGGTAAAAGTATTTTGCATATTGCAGGTATCATCGGGAATTATGAAGTTTGTGAGTTCTTGATTGAAAAATATCCCCAGTTACTTTATACTAGAGATAGAATTAATTGCACAGTCTTACATCATGCAGCTTGTGCAGGTAAAATTGAAATAGTAAAAATGTTACTTGAAAAAGGAATGGATATCAGGTCTGTAGCATACGATGGAAAATCAATTTTACATATTTGTTCTCCCATCATTCATATACAGATGTTGAAATACTTGGTGAATCATCACTCAAAATTATTGGAGTTCAGAGACAATAATGGATGGACAGTGCTACATTCAGCTTGCTCATTTGAAAATGTAGAAATAGTTTCTTTTGCAATAGAAAATGGATCGGACATAAATGCTCTGTCAGATAATTGTAAGTGCATTCTGCATATGACTTGCTTGGCTGGAAAATATGATATTTGTGAATTTATAGTTGAGAAATATCCAGAGTTATGATATATGAGTAAGCCGTAGTATTCTTGATGTTATATAATTAGCCTCTAAAATTTACAGAGCTTTCATTCATTGTTAACATATATGTGGCCGGGATAGAAATTCGGCAAATGTCAAGGAGTATAGCCAATTTCAATTAACAGGATAACACAACGATTTAAAGTCCCTGATGTAATTAATTTCATAACCAATGAACATCTATTCGCCATTTGAAAGACACTAGTGTCGAGTCTTACTGAAAGTCCATGGATGAGAAAGAATTGTACTGCTTGGATTAGTATGTACATTTAATAACTCTGCAATCCGGGGAACCACACACACAGTACACTAACCCTTAGATCCGCCATGAAAATTTCAATCAAGAAGCATCCTATAGAATTAATACAAGGGAAGCAAGAAAAAAATTAAATGTGCTGAAAAAATCTAGAAATATTATTATGATTTTAAAAGGAATTTTAAAGATCGTCTTAGGATAAGTGGTACATTTCTTTCTCTTTTTCAATGATTTTCTAGCATTGATTCACATTTTCAATAATAGCACCATAATATTCATATTGAGAAGCTTGTGTCTCACATCTCACAATATGTCACAAGATATAAAGGTAAGGGTTTGTCTGAGCATGTTAAGTGAGTTTTGATAGATGGGCATACAAGATTACAAATAACAATCCTTTCAAAAGGATGCCCGGTTGATCCCAAAATTTACACAGATCATGAAAGTAAAAATACTTAGTAAAGATTATGAGAAGTTTCATCGAAATCTGAAAGTCCGTTATTTTCAGTTACAGTCACAATTACCATAGAAACTGGCCAGTCTCACGCTGTAAAAACCCCTGTCCTAATTGCTTAATCAGAAAATGTTCTCTCATTTCAGAAAATACCCCCTAAATGCAACACTTTAGGAAGTGTGTGTCTTGTTCGTCTAATTTTTTTTCATGCAAGTTAATTAGGTCTTTCCACCTTTCTGTGGAAAGACCTCTTGAAATGCTTATGTTTATTATTATTATTATTCTTTTTCTGCCGAACTTTTGAAACCGTAAGACTTATCGAAAAACGTTATGGTTCATTATATTGTATATTAAAAGTTATTCCTAAAAACGACCCCCCATGTTTGAACTTTGACCCCTTTCAAAGTTATTGCCCCTTACGCAAGAAATGTTTGCTATCGCTACTATCCCTTTGAAACCGTAAACCGTAGAGGTATGAAACCTTCACCAATGTCTTGGATTAATTGAGAGGACTCTGGAATC